ATATATATATATATATATATATAACGATATATTTCTGTTTGGATTGATCATTTAAGAAATTTTCTCAGTCGGATGAAAGTGATCAAAGCGTCCTTGCTCTTGGAGCTAATGTCAATGCTCGACCTAGTTACCATACGCTCCTCAGCCGCTACGCTTGTCATGATTTCTAAAAATCCATCGGTCGGAAATATAACGTAGAAATATCACTTTATTCCATGGATTTCTCATCTTTTTGAAATTAAACTGTTCAATTTTGAAGAGATGGTCGGAATACACTGAGAAACACTTCCGGTTATATACTGGATCGATCAAAATTAGTATACGTCTTTCATCATCCATTTCTCTTAACTTTCTTCTCAATAGACTTTGCACTATATTTATATTCGATGGATCACTCGATTCTTGTTTCATTTCATTTTATAATCCAAATCAACTTTCACGACATTTTTGTAATTTTATTTGATCATTTACTTGTAAGAAAAATTCTTTTCTACATTTTTTTCTTAAATGATAGATCTTTTCACTGTCGGAGAAAAACTTATGATCGTAATAAAAAAAAGGAGACATGTCTAAAAAGTTATGCTACAATATGAAAAGAAATATGCGTTTGAAGGAAAGAATGATACGAAAGTTTGAAAGTCATTAAGAGCTGAATAAATAGAACAAAGGAATGTAATTTTTTCCGGACAAACAACTGCTCTTTAATGATAATGATCCTCGTGTTTTTTTTACACTTTTACTTTCTACAAGCATGAAGTATAAAGTACGGATAAAGTCTAATTTTCTCTATTTGTTATGTATAAATCTTAAAAGGAATGTACCCACGAGAATTTATGAAGCAACGTGTTTTACTTTCACACAGACCACGATCTACTCTCGATCTTAGTACAAGAAATGAACCGCAAGAAGATCTTATAGATGATTTTCTAATAATCATTCAAACAACATTAGATATTGCACTATAATTAATGATAATTAAATAATCTCTCATTTAAAACTTTGTGTATTATAAATCTTCAACTTTCTTTTGTGTTGTTTTGATTTTCAAAGCATAAATTTAAAATAACATTTAATCAAGAAGAAGGAACAATGAATCTATCACAAGTTCGATGATTAAATGCATATTAAAACTGATAATTCGAGTGAAAGATAGGAGATGAGATTTCGAAAGGAAAATTGACACTTCACACATGAAACAAAGGGTGCACGATGATCTTGAAACAGGTACCTTCATGGTTGACTTTCACAGTAGATCGGTAAAAGGATCACGGCACTCTCACTGAACTCACTGGCCATCGCCATCGAGTATTTCCTCTCTTTATACCGGCTCCCACCTTTTTAGCTTTACGGGAGAACGCTGTCTATATCGCGAATCTTTTTTCTATCAAAATTTTGATTGATATTCTTTGTTTCATAGTTTTTAAAATGAAATTTAAAATTTAAGCAATTGAGAAAAATATAATATATATATATATACATGTTTTATATACAAAAATCTATCTATTTTACCAAATATCTAAGAATTTAATCAATCTTTAAAAAATTTGTTTATTATGAAATATATTTCTATTATGAAATGAAAAATTAAGATTTATCTAATAAGGATTATGATATGAGATTATTGTTATTAAATGTTTGCTTTCTAGATTTTGGAATCGAGATTAATCATTTATTTTAATTGTTGTATTTTTGTTTCTAATTTCTAATTCCATATAATTATATGATATTATACAATTACTTAATTTTCTAATTCTAATTTTTGACAGAGATGTCGCAATAATCCTATGATAAATATATATTATAATTATTATTAATCATATAAAAAATTAAGCAAAACTTGTACAAAAATTATCATGCTGCTAAATACTTCCGTTCAAAATTATTTCTCATTGTCATCTATTTTTATTCTTCTTCAGGTATATTGGACGCATATTGGAAAATTGCCAATCATGTCGTTGGCTTACTTTCTTCGATTGCATTCAGACAGTCGATGCGACCAAAATTCATATGCGCGTCATATACGCTCCATTATACTAAAATACGCTTCGTCAAGCACGGCAAATAAACAAGAAAGAAGAGCAAGAGATACATATAATACTCCAGCCTTCCTTTTCTTTATTCAAGTTCCTTAGTCAGAGCACGCTAATGAAAGCGATTTCAGTGAAATTCATCCCTTCGAATAATGAATAATGAATAACCAGTTTTACTCGATTTTCATCGGGTGGCTCGACAGTTTTCATATTTTCCCTGGTCTCGCTTCACGGTGCGTGAGCAACATAATTGATCACCCGGTTAATGACATAACTCGATTCTCGTTAAATTTATATGTATTCGTTGACATGTATGAATGAATGAAAACTCAACAATGTTACTTTGCGCCTTGTTAAAGTGGCAAAATTTAAATCATGCTTAATCGTGAGTTAAATCGAGTTATACACGTCGAGTTAATGCACAATTTTCTTTATACGTATTTATATTAATACTCAAACTATTAGTAACAAAAATTAATCAATTTATTAAATTAATTTATTTAATACATTTTGCATATTTAAGTATTTTTGCCAATGAAGTTAAAAAACTTTGAGGAGGAAAGGAAAGTTCATATTAATATAATAATTAAATTAGGAAAAGATCTTTTTAATATTTGCATAAAAATATTTTTAGCAAGTATATCGAATTGAACATTTGAAATTGAATATTCTGAATAGAAAGCAAGAAAATTGGCGGAATCCTATCATTATTTGTATCCGGTTATATATTCACAATGAATTCTTACGTACTCAAGGCAGGAAAGTCATCTAATTCACGACAGGATAATTATATCGAATGTATTATACGTAATATATGTACATTCTCATGAATTCGATACTGGTTTCTCAACTATTCTCTCTTTTTTTATTTTTAAATTTCACTATTGTATCTTATTATATGATTATTTTCATAAATTTAATTTTCATTTTCATATTAAAACATCACACGTTACTAGACAATATATGTATGTATCTTGAGCTGATGTAGCTATTAATAAAATAAACTTAGCATGTATAAAGAAGAAACAAACTGTTCTGAAGTGAGAGAAATCGATAAGATGATACAACGATTATAAGTCAGAGAGGAGGCATCGAAGAGAGAGAGAGAGAGAAAAGAAAAGATACGTACGTGAAAGGCGAAACGTTAGAATGATGTTTAAAGATGATAAAAATAAAGGTTTTATTGAAAATTATAATTATATATGCTGCATATAGTTTAGTAATGGAATTTAGTAAATGGAAAGTTGAATAAAGTAAATAAAAATAATTACGTTTGTCAATTTGTAGAAAGACTGAATATAGAAAGTTAAACACTTTTGTTATGATAAATGGTTTCGCATTTCGCGTAATTGATCAATAATATATTTGAGTATTTAATTATAATATAATAATAGATTTAAGTTTTTGTTATATAGATTATGCATTTTATTATTTTATATTAAAGAAATTGACTCATATAATATATACCTTTTAATTTTATATCATATTTAATATTACATCTGTTTACTCTCATTAATTATTAGATCTTAATGAACGCAAAAATCTATCAGATTCAAAATCGATGTGACAATGACAATTTGTTGGAAATCGAAATAATTCGGGTATTATCGAACCATTTGATGTTACTGCCAAAAGTTGATGATATATGAATTTTTGCTTACATTTTGTATAATACCCTTCAGCGAAACCTTCGATTATTCTACATGGTCTGTCTTCTTCCCTATAATATACATATTATCAATTAAATTTTAATTTTATAAGTATTATAAAACATTTATTTTCATATTAAATATATAAATTCGTATTTACAGACATATCTCGATGTGTACAGCTTGCGTCAAATTTATGTGATTTACGATATATTTCCATTCCAATTCTTTTGTTAGACCTGATTTAGGGAATATAATTTGTTCCTAAGAAATGGTAAGAAAAGTACTAATTATAAACGATTAAATGGATAAATCTATAAAGTCAAATGTATTAACCAATTTATTAATCTATTGTTTTTTCTGTTTCATGACTTACTCTAGAGATACAAAGTGATTCTTCTTCTGATTTATCTTCGAATTCAGGATATATTATCTATTGAAAAAAAATAGTACATAAGGAAAGATGTCATTAATAAATTAACTAATAATTAATATAATTTTTTTATATCTAGTAAATATAATAAAATATAATGAATTTGAATTTTTAAAATTCACAAACCTCATTTGTATTTGCATAATATCGAAAATGAGGATATCTTTCTAGTTCCTCTGATATTATTTTGTCTGGATAATACAATGTATTTTCTTCGCAATAATATTCATGATTGCAAATTGGAACTGATTTGAAAAATATTGTTATTAATAAATAATTTTTGTTATATTTTTTTATATTTATTTTTAATATAAATTTCTATTTAAATCTAGTACCTGGCAAAAAATTGGTATTCATCTTATATATGGTAGATATATCAGAGGATTTTAAATGCACTGGAAATATAAGCTGATAAAAATTCTAATTATTATATGTTTTATATATATATATAGAATATAAAATAAATTATAGTTTAATATTTATATGAATGATTTAATTATGAATAATTTTCACGAAAAAAAAGTTGAATATAACAAACAATACATTATATCTGTTATTCAATTATAACTTTGATTAGTTGAAAAAAACAATGATACAATAGATATTCAGAACATATATAATGACATTATTTCTCTAATTTTAAATTTCTGATAAAAAAAAAATCAACGATAATATGAAGCATCGAGAGATTTGGAAATAAATTGAAATGATAAACGTGACTTAATCTTATCTATGAATATAGTAAATACTTTAAAAATATTTATAATTATTTTATAATTTTAAAATTTAATGTATCATGATAGAAAATCAAATTAATAATGTTTGAAGAATATTTTTCTCAGATTAAAAAAATTATAAAATCTCTCACCAGAAAAAATCCAATTTCCTTTATTATCATCCTTAAATAAGAAATATCAAATTCAAAATCAATAATGTAATATAATATAAACTTTTTATATCTATATCTTGATTTTTTTAAATAAATTGTTATTGTTTTTATTATTGAACAAATAATAAAATAACTTTCTTTTTTAATATACTTAATATATTTAATATACTTGCGGTTTCATTAACGAATTTATTTAACTATTTTTTAATAACTTGCTATCGGCGATTGAATCTTATTTTTTAAAGAAATACATTCACATTCGTAGCTTTTCAATAACTGATGTTATGTCTTTATATCCACAAGAAAAATAAGATTAAAATATATACATATATATGTGTATATATATATATATATATATATATATTTACCTAGTTCAACATTGATTTTCTTACATTAATTAATAAAAATTTTATTGATAAATTTAATAAAATAATCTATTTGTTAAAGAAATGTATATAAGGTATTTATAATTAAGATCTAAAAAGATTAAAATATTTTTTATATAATATATGAATGAATTTTATATAAAATATATATATATATTCATATATATATTTGAATTATACAATATGAAGCGCCAATTTAATTAACCAATGAAAGAGAGACTTAAGGAAATTTAAATCAGCAAAATTTATTTATAATAATTTTCATAGTAAAAATTATAAATATTATTGATATTGTAATTATTAGGAATATATATTTTAATATTTATTGTTTTATTTATTTTCTTTTCTAAATTCTATCATTTCTCTAGTAGAAAAAAAATTACTAGTCGTTTATGTTTCTTCTTAAATTTCCCTATGATAGGAAATAAGAACACTAGTGTGAAGTAAACCGCAGTTGCTGGATTAAATTGCTTTAGTTTGGTCGATTTCGCATCACGTCCAAAGAAAATCAGAAAAATGTCGAAGAGGAATCCAGGAGACGAATATAGAAAAGGTTTTATTCATTTTATTTATAACCGTATCAATCGCATTTGGTAAAATAACATTTACTTCGTACCTTGCAAAATGGACAGTTTATTCTTAATTTGTTTTCGTTATTGATCTCATGTCCATATTACGAATAATGCAAGTTCTAAATATACATATATATTGTATATATATATATATATATATATATATATTTACCTAGTTCAACATTGATTTTCTTACATTAATTAATAAAAAATTTTATTGATAAATTTAATAAAATAATCTATTTGTTAAAGAAATGTATATAAGGTATTTATAATTAAGATCTAAAAAGATTAAAATATTTTTTATATAATATATGAATGAATTTTATATAAAATATATATATATATTCATATATATATTTGAATTATACAATATGAAGCGCCAATTTAATTAACCAATGAAAGAGAGACTTAAGGAAATTTAAATCAGCAAAATTTATTTATAATAATTTTCATAGTAAAAATTATAAATATTATTGATATTGTAATTATTAGGAATATATATTTTAATATTTATTGTTTTATTTATTTTCTTTTCTAAATTCTATCATTTCTCTAGTAGAAAAAAAATTACTAGTCGTTTATGTTTCTTCTTAAATTTCCCTATGATAGGAAATAAGAACACTAGTGTGAAGTAAACCGCAGTTGCTGGATTAAATTGCTTTAGTTTGGTCGATTTCGCATCACGTCCAAAGAAAATCAGAAAAATGTCGAAGAGGAATCCAGGAGACGAATATAGAAAAGGTTTTATTCATTTTATTTATAACCGTATCAATCGCATTTGGTAAAATAACATTTACTTCGTACCTTGCAAAATGGACAGTTTATTCTTAATTTGTTTTCGTTATTGATCTCATGTCCATATTACGAATAATGCAAGTTCTAAATATTTAATTTAGAAAGTTAATTATGAAGCAATTTTATGGACAAATAAATATTAAAATCGTATTTTATTTTCTAAATCTCGTTTCTTACTTTTCATGTACCATTTTTTGGGTGCACGCATCCTTCAACCATGTGCCAAAGGATGTATAGTAAAAATGGAATGAATGTTAACCTTATGTAATAAAATTATCAAGTAAATATATCGCACTTCGTATTGTTATAAATAACCTCAGGATGTGTATGTTATATGCACACTCGTTTCTTCATCATCATTTATTGACTTCATTTGATTTGAATTTAATCCAGAATTGCAAGAAACTTGTGCTGAGCATGCCGCTTAAATATTTCCGGTTAAAAGATACAATGTTATTTTAACTTGATCTGAACTTTGCCAGTGTTTGACGTTGTCAGGGTCAAGTGTGTACAGAGCAGAGGACTCCAGAGGAGATGACAGAGGGAGGGATCGTTCGCCACTTAGATCAGATGACCGTTGTGAAGAGGCTAATTACAATCAAAGTGATGCAAAGAAACAGAAGCTGGCATTTGGATTTGGGAAGAAAAGTGGAACAGAACAAAAAAAGGGTATTCAAATAAAACTAGGTTCAACATCGGTAAGTAATAATATATAAATTTAAATATGTACATTTTTATTACTTTATTTATATATTTCATAAAAAATTATGTTTCAGAAACCCACAGTTAAAGCAACACCAATTCAAAGGCCAACAGTAGCATCTGTGTTTAATGCAGATGAAGAAGATGAACCTGAGGAAATGCCAGCAGAAGCAAGAATGAGGATGAGAAATATTGGAAGAGAAACACCAACTTCTGCTGGACCAAATTCATTTGGTAAAACCAAGCAAGGGTTTTGTGATTCCAAGAAAATATTTGAAAAAACGCTTAAAAAAGCAATGGAGGAAGCAAATAAATGATTCCTTGACAATTATTGTTAATTGTATATTAATTTTACAAAAAATGCAACAATAGCGAGATTCTTGCTACAGTTATATGCAAACTATTTTTATCAATTTTATGCATTATCGACAAATAATAGATGCAAAGTTCTACTTGGTATTTGACATCACATCTTGAAAACTTTTATTAGTATTAGCTAACATTAAGACTGCACTTGAAGTTTTTTTCTTTGTGTGCATTGTGAGGAAGTATGCATATGTAAGAAATTTAATCTATATAATTTTTACATTGTTCCAGTAATATTGTATTAAATTTTGGATCATGTAATAATAAATATAAAAGATTATCTTGTTTAGAAATTATAGAAAAGTTATAAATATAATTTATCTTATAACTTGTAGAATAAATGATATGAATAAAAAAACAGTTAAGATCGATTTTATTTTTTATTTTACTTAAAATTTACATGGTAAATTATTTTCTGCTTTGTTGACCTTGACGAAGATCCTGAAAAGATATATTAATAAATTTAATAATTGTTGGATAATAGAAATGTAGAATAAAATTGAAATTTTTAATTTCAATTATATAATTTTAATAATTACCCTAGGGAAATTACGAACTGGAGGTGTTCTGATTCGACGATTTGCTTTCGATCTATTACGGACTACTTTTGAGTGAATAGCACAAGAAACACAATAATGTAACTTAGCATATAACTTTGGAAGTTGATATGCTGAATAAAAGCTTGCTTCTGTGATATCTCTGACAGCTGCAGCTTCCACAATGTTACGAATAACAAATTTCTTAATTGCTTTATCTTTAGGTACACATCGAGCACAATTAGTACAACGGACAGGATTCACATGACCACGACCGTGTTTGGCACGTCCACCGTTTCTGCGTTTGCAAGTCTGGAAAAAAAAAGATATATAACAATAATAATGATGTATAATATATATTATATTAATTATTATAATAATAAGTATTTTCTACATTTCAAACATTAATAATTAATTTAATGATTAATATGGATAAAATAAAGGTTAAGATAAACATTTTTTAATATATAAAAAATTTAATATTAAAAATTTTAAATTTCAACAAATATTTTAATATACACGAAAGCATTTTTTTTGTAGTTCCTAGAGTATATTTTAATAAAAAATATTTTACAAATACATATATAATGTGACAAGCACATGGTTCATGATTACCGAACACTAGTATTTCACTAATATGTTATTATTAATATTAATTATATTATAAAAAATTATATTTTATATTATTCTTTTTAATATTGGATATTAAAAAAATAGAGTGCATACAATAAAATACATTAAATATAAACGATAAACAAGAAATAGTTACCATTTTGTTTCGTTTGCTAGAGAAGAAGGATCGGAAACAAGATTGGTGGCATTAAATGAAGTTGGCGAGTCAAATCAGTGTATTTCCGTTTATATTAAGTTGGCAGTTCAGTTTCAAATTGCGTTTGAATTCTCTCGCGCGTTTCAAATATTTGTCATTTTAATATTATTTATCCACTTTTAATATTTTAAATGTGTGTGATACTTGTGATATTAGCAGTTTTGAAAGGATTCTAAAGAAAAAATTGCTGTATTAAGGTAATACAATATTATAATTCAGAAACATGAAATATTTTTTCATGTAGAATTCTCTTTCATATAGAATTTTATGTTAAATATTTCATGTAAATATAGACAATTCTAATTTTACATAAAATTATATTTATTAGAATAATTTATTAAGAAAGTTAAAATATGTTATAATATATTAATCATTAATTAAAAAAATTATTAGACAAAATTTTTACTGTTAAACTTTGAAAGGTTAAGCATAATTGATTCTTTATCATTAATATAAATTAAAATTTAAAAAAGAAACATTCATTTAAAACAATTAAGAATACAATATGACATAATTTTGGATTTTTAATGATATAATATATGCCTATACTTTAAAATTGATATATTATATAGTTACAAAATGGAGAAGTTAAATCCATAAATGTAATACGAGAAATGAAAGTAATATAATTTTGCAATAAATTGAAATATTCTTAATTTTTTTTTATTAATTTATATATATTGTGTATTTTAATAATGTCGAGATATTTAAATGAATAATATTTAAATATATTTTTATAATTATATTAAATAAACGTAATATCTTACATATATATGTATTAGTTGTGCTGTTGATGAATACTATTAGTAATTGATCAAGTGTTATTTTTATATTTTTGTAATTTGTTATTTTATTCATATTTTTCAAAAATTTATATTTTGGATTTTATATACAATGGTAGAAGAAATAATTAATTCTACTAATAAACCAAAGGTATGAGAGGTTAATTTTGTTGAGATAATGATACATTATTATTAAAATAATTATAATATCATTGAAATATTAATATTTTTTTTATTAATTTAAAAGAATATAATAATTAAAAGTATAAAAATATTTATATTGATTAAAAATATATTGAAATATTGTAGAACAAAACTGCTAGACCCCGTCCAGTTTATTTATGGAATGTATTAGATGTACAAAAATGGTTGAGAAGACATTGTAGTGATTATTATCAATTATATCATGAAAAGTTTTTGTATGTAAGTAATAAATAAGTTCAACTATATTTTTGTACTTCTGATGACATTAAATATGTGATCAATATTATTCATGTATTATTTTTAAGCATGATATCACTGGAAGAGTTTTGTTAAGGATAAATGAAAATATTTTATTGAGACTTGGGATTGACAATGAGCAACATAGATTGGATATTTGGCGGGAAATAATGAAATTACATCTTAAAACAGACATGTTAGAAATTAAAGATATTGAGCGACGTAATAATATGAACTTTGATTAGTATTTTGCAGACAATTAACTCAAATATAAGCAATGTTTGTATACAATAGAAATTTATTTTTTAAAATAATTGATTTTATATCAAATAATCTTTTGTATTTTTTATCGTTAGTATCTTAATATTAGTAATATTTTTAAAATACAAATATAATAATGTAAAATATAATAATGTATCTTTATAAATATTTATAATAAATATTTATAATAAATAAAACATTTGATGTTTTAGATATATATTTAGCTTTTTTAGTGTGAGTCTTAAGAAAACATGAACAATAAATGCAAAGAAGAAATATAGGAATAAAAAAAATTATCAGTGGAAGTTTCTATTATCAAATGTTGATAATATTTATCTATATAAAATATATATTAAAATTATATATCAATATTTTATAATAGGAAAACAATCTCTGTGTTACAAATTTTTTTCGTATAATGTTTCAACAAAAATTTATTTATTGACTAGAAACATTTTGTTATTTCATTAACATTATAATTACATTGATTTTAACATTTAATTATATTTAAATAATAATATGCTTCTTTTCATTTAAAATTTTTGTTATGTTCAAGTTTATTTGAACGAATAAGTTCAAAGATCAAAATCCTCATTACCCTGTTTGTTGCTTTATATGAGTTATGCATTCCAAACTTATAATAATTAAAATTAACAAAAAATTATTATTTAATATATGTTTCACAGCCTTACATATTTTATAGAATTTTTTAAAGAAAAATAATAACTATGATTCTAACAAATTTATTATTTAAGTAAGAAAATTTAATGCATTGTAATGTATAAAATATTTTTACAATAGTCGTAATTATTTTAAAAATATTCTCTTTTGCGTTTTTTTTTTTACGTTTTAATTAAGACTTTTTAAAATTTTTCTACTATACTATAAGTATAGTAATTCATTCTGAGAGACAAATTGTTATTATTCCATTATTAAATATAATATAATTAAATATTGTGTAAAATTTGTATGTATATATATATATATTATATACATATATACATACTATGCATCTAATTAAAGATACATAATTCTTACAACATTCTTATCATCACTAAATACATAAACTTTGTAGAAAAGCTTGAGCAATAGTTAGAAGAACTAAAAAGAAAAGAATTAATTAGATGTTTAAATATCCAAAAATTGCTGTAAAATTTGTGGAAAAATTATCCCATACCAATTTATAGGAAAACTACTAATCTATTACTATCTTATTGCATATAATATATGCAAATTATTTGCGTAATATTTTTCACTTTAACAGAATAGTTTTTTTTTATCTCTAATACTATTTATAATCAATTATTTAATTAGTTCTATATATTATAGGCATAATTCTTTTGTATTAAGATCTTGAGTGTGTTTATGTCTTCCAGATGAAAAAACGTACAATTCTTCGTTTCTTTTTGAACAATGATTACCACGATGAATATAATAACCAATTCCTTTTCTAATTCGTCCACTTTTCTGGTTATCGATAAACGATTGTGTCGATTCTCTTGACGTACTTTTATGAAAAGACGAAATATTTGGACAAGTACCGGAAATTGTACGTTTCCATTCGTATCTATAAATATTTAGAGAATTTATAAATGAGAAATATAAAATATTTCTATCAGGAATATTTTGAATTTTATAATTATAAATATATCGAAGGAATACCTTATAGAGGTTCGAGTACTTTGTGTTTTTTCCATATCTGTGATATTGATTGGTGGTTTATTTGTCCATCTTCGCAATTTAAAAGGACATCTTTGTTGAAATTCCCTTCTAAATTTTTCCTAAAAGTTTATTTTACGCTTAGATAAGAATATGAATTAATTATTCTAATTTGATAATATTAGTAAAATTATCAGAGCAATTGGAAATATTTCCATTTATCGATACTTACGTTATATATTCCGTAAATAAATGGATTGTAACAACTATTTGACATGGCCAACCAGTCGAAAAAAAAGAATATATAATGGATATATTTGTATCTGCAATTATTTTTCTTTGTGATTCATTTTTAAATTTTATATATATTTATAAAACAATTTTTTAAATATTGCGTAAATATGATGATATATACTTACTCGTTAATTTCTGAATAAAAATATTGGAATACGTTATACATTTGAAGCGGTAACCAGCAAATTGCAAAAAGAGCTACGACTATAATTAACATTTTAATTACCTGCAACGATTTAATGTTGTATTAAATAAATATCAACTTAAATTTAATTATAGATTAATAAGTAAATTAATTAATTGCATAAATCATACTGTTAATTAATTAATTGCATAAATATTATACCTTCATTTTATTTCTCATTAAATTCGCATCACGAGAATCTTCGGCATTCCCGGGGGCTTTGTTTCCCCATAATTTTAACGCCATTCGCGCATACACACATGAAATAATCGAAAGAGGCGTTAGATATTGTAAAAACACCAATAATCCAGAGTAAATAAGCATCGATTTATCTGACAGATTCACATGTTTACAAAACGGTTTGTAATTATCAGAACCAGCTGGAAATTGTAATTGAAGAACAATCGATTGATAGTTTGAAAAGAAAATTTCAAAAAAATCACAGTTGTAAATGTGTAATTTATAAAAAAAAAAAAATCTAAAGTTGAAACTTACATATAGGATTTTCTGGTTCCATAATAACTCTACGTGCAATAGCCATCGGCGTGGCCAAACTTCCGGCAAGAAGCCATATTCCAGCAATTATAATTTTGGCGGTCAATTTGCTTGGTCTCGCACTATTAAAATCAAATAGGATGAATTTCGATTCGATTGAATGACGACGTATGAATTTGAAGTAAATATACAGATAGATAATTTCTTGTTTGGAAAATTGATAACACACCTGAGAGGTCTTAAAATCGCTCGATGTCGATCGATCGCTATAGCTGTCAATGTGAAAACCGAGACATTGACAGAAAGCACTTGCACGAAGGGACAAAACGCGCACATGAAATGAGGCAGGATCCATTTTTGCAACAGGGCCGCTTGAAACTTAGAAAAAAAAAAAAAAAATTAAATGTGCATTATTTTGATGTAAATTTCTTTCGATTTGAATAATTTACATTGAATAATTCATATTTTACCTGAAAAGGAATCGCAAATAAACCAATAACGATATCTGCCAACGCTAGATTTGCAATAAAAAAATTAGTTACATTCTGCATACGCCTGGATGTAGATATTATCCATATAACAAGAGAATTTCCTACTACTGCCAAAAAAGATATGGTTCCGTAAAATATGCTGAGGAGCACGAGTACAGCTGTCGGAACTTCCCCATCTGAGAACAAATAAAAACATGTTGAAATTATATATTAAAATAAAAGGAAATTGAATATAATACAAGAATAATGTTCCGATATTTTATATTTCGTACAATATATTTTTAAAAGGAACATATTGATGTTTAAAATTTATTTATACGTGTATGCATGCTTGAAAATATAAATATTTTATTTTTATTTAATCACTTACGTAATATTCGCTATAATATAATAATCTGACTTTTCTTTTATGGATTTTTATTTTGTATATATTTGAAAATATGTTTACACGTGTATGAAATATTTTAACAATAATTCATTTGGATATTTTTACGAATGACTAATATTGACAGAAATATTTTTTATTTATTATAAAGACAATGAAATTAAGATTTTTTGCGGTTTGTTTTCGTATTTTTTCGATTGGAAAAATTATTCATAGATTTATTGTTAGAAATAAATGTTGTTTTTATTATCTTTATATCATAAGTAAAAAATACCATTTAAATTTAAATTTAAATTTTCTTCAATACTTATTCATAAATTATTTTTATTATATAAATAAAAATCTTAAGATCTTATTTATATTTCTATTTAAATCTGAAGTTTTATTTTTAATGGGTTTACTCGGATTTGAAATGAAAATATTTTCTCAACGATTTTATTTCATATTTTTATTTTTCGATAAATATTTGAACGTATGTTTCAATCCATGATGAAAATGTGCCTTTTTTTTTACAAGCAACGTTTTTGACACGGATATGAATATTTTTGCGTATAATACTTAATGGTGAAATAGCATCATGAATATAAACATTAAGTTTCGGATCTCGACTTTTTGATCGCGAAAAGGAGGATACGAATAATTTATGGAAAAAAAAGACTTTGAATCTTTTCGAAGGTATAATAGTCTATTTGTCATGTTAATTTTTTTTCAAATATTAAGAAACAAATTTAAATTTGTTTTCTCCATTATTAAAAAATAGTAAACGAATATTATATAATATAGAAGTAAAAAAATGAGAAAAACAAGAAGCAGTACACGAAAAATAAGTTTTTCATTGAATTTGCAAGGAAAAAGAAAACGATGTTAATGTTATAATAAAACGTACCTACGTAATTTAGACATCGCATGAACTGTCTTCTGTCACGAAAACAGTGACCGAAAACTTCCTTCCGGTTTTGCAAGGACATTTAATACTGTCAACTAACAAGATCGTAATGTATTCCGTAGAAACTAAATAATAACAAATTGTGATTATTCATGATCGAAACATTTTTAATTATTTAAAATTTTAATTACAATTTTATTTTCGCTTTATATTTGACTCATTGATCCTCAATAAAAGAAAATGCTTAATAAGTATTTCACTTCTTGTAATCTTGTCTTTCTCTAATGGCAATTTATCATTAGTAAAAATTAATATAATTCCAGTTTTTTTTAATTCTGTTATAAAGATAATTTTAAAAAACCTTATTATTTTATTTGCCATTTAGAACCGTGTTAGTGCCGAATTGTAACCGTGAATCGAATTATCAAACGTATATTGTTCGAATCATTCGTCGAAAACTGATTTTTTTATGAGTCGATGAAAATTTTCCTTGATCTCCGATTTTTGCATTTAATTTTCGATCATTTTAATGCAATGCTTGAAGGAAATTATCGTTCGTTTGCAATTGAAAAAGTTTTAATTAAAATCTCCTGATATTTCAATAAATATAAACGTAATTATTTTTAATTACATAATTATTTCTTATAAATAACGATAACGTTTATAATAGATCATGAATTAATGAATCTGAGTGGTTACATTTTCGACATGTTGACCCTTGATCTTTAACGATAAAATATATCAATGATACAATTCGTACCAAAAGTATCGTTGGTTGACTCGTTCTCATAGGGCGAGAACGTATTATTGAACGTTGATGGCCAAGTATTTTTGAACTCTTCATTTTCGTCGTATTGTAAAGTATTCATGATGGAGGATTCCATCTGTAACAAAAAAAAATAAAGATAATTTTTATACCATAATCAATTTTATCATAAATTATATTCGCGAAATATTCATTTAACGAGTAACAATTTCAACAATAAAACATAATTTATGTCCTATTATTTTTATCTTTTCATTGGCGTATGCACGTATGCGCAAGAATGATACGTAGAGAAAGAGGATAACAGGTTTCATGGCAATTCAATAAACTCGATAAATTGTATTCTCAAGTTGAGAAGCAGAAAATCGAGGACATGATTTATTCATTGAAATTTACATTGCTCGTCGCGAAATGAATGTTGTCGACGAAAGTTGTACAATTTATCGATTCACGAAAGTGCAGTTTCCCCCCAGTAATTGTTATCAATTCTCTTTTTCAATATCGGAAAATTAACTTTACTTACGGTACAATGTTTAACATACAAAAGTGACAAAAGATCTTTTATTTTGATTCGAGAAGGAAGGATGTTATATAGGATGTTTTCTGTTTCGATAGAGGAAGACTGTAATTGAATACCCTATTTCATTAATTTTTTTCCTGTGAATCACAATTGAAAACTGGGTTATTTATAAAAAATTAAATCTCTCCAATTATTTCTCTGAAATGTACAAATTTTCGTTTGATCAAATTTCGATAAATTTTGATTTCGAAGAATTTTTTTATTGTTGAAATACATTGGACGAATTCATTGCATACATTTTGTGAATTATTATATTCTAATTCGATATCATATATAATATGAATATAATCATTATTTCATTAAATAATTAAATTCATTCATTGATCATTTGATAATGATATAATTAATGAATTGTAATTATAGATGTAATAATTATTGAATTGAATTTTAAAATAAATAATTTAAAGTAATAGAGTATTAGAAGTATGGGATAATCTACAATAATATGAGGACGTAATATAATAAAACATCGTAAAAAAAAAATTTTTAATCGATTCGATTAATAACATTTCCTAATTTCAATTTTATAAATTAAACTTTTTCATATTAATCGATATTGATATTGATAATTTTTTAATATTGATCAATAAGAATTTTTAATACAAATTTGTTTAATACAAATTTACACAAAAAACATTGAAGATCACTTCTTGATAAAAAGAGAAAAATTTAAATCATTCTTTCGTGAAATTTTTATAAAATTTTACGAAATTATTTACAGTCCTTTTTCAAGAATTTTTCTGTAGGTATTACCCGTGTTCATAAATTTATTTTCATTGGTATTCTTGGAATTTGAAACAATGTAGTGGATTCTAAAATTTTATTGCGTTTTCCTTTTGAAATCGTTTGAATTTTAATATCACGAAATTTATACGAAATTTTTTTCTTATTGAAAATGTTGATATTGAAATGTTGTAATAATATTCTAACATATTTTTTAATATTTCAATCATATGAGTGTGACAATATTATTGTGAAACATATTCAATTGATATGATCAACTGATATAAAATTTTTTTTAAAATAATTTACCTAATATGCTATAATAACGATATGATTTTTATCATAATTCTAAAACTTATCCTTTTATCTTTGATTCGAAAATAATTAACAACAAAATCGAAATAATAATTTGAAATATCAAAAATACATATATAAATTTTTTACCTACTTTTTTAGGATTAATTAAATGAATAGTATAATCTAGAGTATTCAATTCCTCTTTAAAACGAGACCAATGATATTTTTAATTTTTAAGACAGAATAATACCATTTTGGTATTTAATAGAATCGCATGGTTTTGTCAGGTTGAAAAATAATTACTTTATTAAGTAATATCAATTCAGAAAATTGATTTTGTAAGGAATACAATTTAAATAAGTTTATTAATCTTCAAATAGAATATATTCTTCCAATATGTAGGTATCATACCAGTCTTCAATTATTAGCCGTTGAGGTATCCGATAGTGCATTGTCATATGCATGACAAGAGGAAATTGATATTCCATGAATGTAATTCCAGGATGAAATAGATGTAATAGTTTTTAAACAAATTTGTTTCATTATTGTCGAATATTTATTTTTTCGAAACCATTGCATATTTCGAAACTATTGTAAATTTTTAAAGGACGAAAAAATTTTTCAAATGACATATTTATTTTAAGAAAAAAGAATTAGAATTCAGCAGTGATTTTGAAAAAAATAATACGTAATACTCTAATTTCTTATATTGTATTATTATTTTCAAAATATTGAAAAAAAATAATATTTAATTAAATAAAATATAAATATGTATTTTGATGAAATTTTGAAGGATTCAAATTTTGTTGATAAAACTAAAAAACAGAAAACATATTTGAATATATTTCATTTAATTAATTTCTATCATATCATATTGATCATTAAATAAAACAGGAATATTTAATAATTTAATAATCGATAATATTATGATATTGTATTTTACAATACAACAAATTAATAAACAAATGTAATAATATCGAATCAATTTCATGCTCTATTCAAATTGCTGTAATACGTACTTACATGTTTAACATTCTTCTAAATACACAAATATAAGTATAAGTCAAACATTTCACATTGATTATTCATAATCTTAATCGAAAAAGTGGTTATGCATAATTCAACTTGTTCCTTATTCACTTGATATTGTTTCACTTTTATATATTGAGAATGCGATTTTGAGTTTTGAATTGAATTGAATTTTTTAATTTTGTTCTAGTATTTTTCGATAAATTTAATGCATGAAGATTTAAAAATATCAAAATTAATGCAATATTATAACTATTAAAATAAATGTGATTATTTGTCGAGAGAAGTAATTAGAATTGATTGCCTAAGAACAATGATTTTCCTTAGGTTTGGAAATTAAAATTCAAAATCTAGACTTGAATTTACCGAATAAGTGGATCACTATGTCAGAACGTTTCAAATTTGTAAAATTTAAATCCGTCAAATTTTTAGAATTTCTCTCGTTTTGTAATTTTGTTAAAAGATGTGTTTTCTTTGTTTTGTGATTACAAATTATAAAATTAAGTTCAAGATGAGTCGATACATAAGATATTATGTACATAAGATCGATGTTAGAAACGAAGCATTACGTATGCATATGCTTGTAAACAAGATATCTTGATGCGGTAGCACATGGAAACGCTATACAAACATTTGGTAATTCATGATTTAAATAGATAAATTTGTTTTTCCATTATTTTTACTTGATTTTTCATAATTATACGGCATGAACTCAGTTTTTAATATTTTTAAATATTCATTGCATATATAATTTTCTTCTTTGAAAGATTTGTAAAGATCGTTTGTAAAAGATATTTTTAATTATGAATTATTTTTAATAAACGATTTTGTAGAAAAATAAAATATCTCGAGGGTAAATATTATTTATAATTCAAAAATGAAACGATAAAAAGTATAAAGGAACGAATAAAAAAGGGGAAAACTTTTAAAAGTATTATTCCAACAATAAAATATTCAATTCTTTAATTTTTCGTTCAATGTAAGTTATACAGTTATGCGATGCAAAGAAAATGGCATTGCATTTTCCAACAAAGTGTAAAAAGCTTGTTTTCTGTGTGGTCAGAGATATGATTGGTATTCTGTTTTTCTCTGAATTTTTTTAATACAAAAGAAATGTCATTTTTAGATTTTTCAATAAAATCTAAAAAAAATTTTTATCTCCTCTCGAATATTTCGAGGAATACAATTATTTCTCTATTTGCTTTCTATTGCTTATTTTATTTTTCTTTTTATTTCAATGTTATCGCGTCCCATTTTTAAAATTTTTAGAAAATTCCAAAATAATGTAAATTTTTTCTTTTATTCGTTTATTTCTTTCTAAAATTTGTTGAAATTTAGTTTGTTCGATTTCAACTATGAAATATTTCATTTTTCTACTTTTCTACTTTTGTTGTTCTTCTTTAAAAAATAGCAAAAGAAAAAAATATTAAATTTGTTGAGAAAAAAATTAATTTTTCATCTATAAGTGAAAATTTTTGAATATTTAAGATAATTTAAAAGGCAGAGAATATCGGTGAACAAAAGCAACGAACAATGCATCGACTAGTATAAAAATTTACCATCCTCTTGGATTTTCCTTTCTAAATACATACATAAAATAAACTCTAATGCTATATGTTCAATCTTTTCTCTTTGCTTCGTCAAATATGCAATTCGAACAATTTTTCAAGTTAAAAGGAAGGAAAAATAAAAGAAATAGAATAAATTTGCTAAAATATGGTTTCGAAATTTCTTTCTTGCTAATTAACTAACTTTATCATCTTTAAAGTAATTTTCCTTTTTTTTTTGTGCCAAGAGAAACGAATTGAAAGACTCACTTAAAGAAAAGAAAAGAAAAGAAAAATAAAATAAAATTAAATGTTGAATACGAATGTCATATAACATAGAACACATACATACACACATATATAATGATCACATTGGTCCATGGCAAGATGTTGCGCGCTGTATTACCGAGAATTCCGAGACACGTTCTGACAATACCTTGTTACCTTGTCGTGTCTCCTAACTATAATATGCACTTTGTGTTTCATAATGCAATTATGCCATTTAGTCAACGCAATATGAACCTGCAAAGGCCACTTTGATATACAACGTTCTGTCCAAATAAAATATATACTGTTCTGTAACTGTAATTTCTATATGATGACGTAACTCTTTCTATTCGATGGTCTATTCAATTTGTCACAAAAGAGATACGTTATTACATTAGAATATTACAGAGAAATTGAGACTATATATATGAGTTAAATTAAATTTCACGAATAAAATTGCATCGTATATCGGTTATTCTATTATTCTTGAAATGCTGATCAACTTAACAATTCTTCAATTAACAGGAAGATAACTTTCAAAATCAATTATTTCGATAATTTCTTCAACGAGAATATATATATATACGCTTATGATACAAAGAAATATTTGTTTATAACAATTATTTTTTTTTTATCTTAATATTTATGTTAATCAAAATTTTTTCATAATAAAATTCTTCTTGGAATATAAATGAAATAATAACAATATAATTGGATTTGAGAATTTTTTTATAGGGAAGATAAAGAATTTTTAATTTTAATACTAAGTAAATAAGTTTTCTTCTATTTTAGTTATTTTGTATCATTTGTAATGCTTGAAAAATCATTCCACTGAATGATATACATATTAATAAATCCAATTGAAAATCACGTTTCTTTGAAACGATAAAATATTGTGATAATCGACATTCATTCCAAAAAAAATTTTTGGATTAAGTTTTCAAGCTTCATTTCGAAATTTTATAATTGGGGGAAAGCGGATCAAACTGCTTTTTAGATAAAAGCATATCTTTGAAAAAAATTTTTCTTTTAGTCAAAGTAAATATCAAATGATACCTAATGACCAATATGAATTTAAAGATACGATCGATTTATCTGTAAAATCTTCTCGAGTTTAATATAATATTTATGTGAATAATTATGCAATTAATTTACAATATATAAAAATATTCTTGAAATTTTATCTTTTCCATTTTCTTTGCTGCTCGATATCAAATAGATAATTAATTCATGTAAATATTAATAAACGAAACGAATAAATTATAATTTTTAGCTAGATATTATTTACAAATTATTGTCTGGGAATAAAACTAAACTGCAAACTTCATTGGATTGAAACTTTATACAAAATATATTTTGAAACATATTTATGCAATCATAACATATCAAAATATGTATATAAATATTATTGGTTAACAATATTATTTGATTAATATTGAAGATAATTGTCTATGAATATATATTCAAATTTCTATTTATATAACTTACATATTATGATACTGATACTGTTTGCGTATTTCAACATTTCCTAATGCACAGATATTATAAATTGTACATTATTATAAATCTGAATACTGAAACAATGTTAATTGTTTTTCATCCAGATACAGATAAAATACCAATATATATTTAATTTGAAAAAAAAGTAATACAACAATATAAACATAAGTCCAAGTTTTATTTCTTTATCTGTTTTTTAACATAAAAATATACGCTTATTTAAACGTTGAAATTTATTTAAAAATGAAAATGAATAAGTTTCATTGTGTAAGCATCACATATGTTCGAAATTATTTGCATTATGAAATTGGAAGAATATCTATGTGAAAATGGGATCATATTAAAATTCTTATACAAATTTATTCTTTTATAATATAATTTTAAAAAATCTTTTTTAAACATGTTTTCTAAACATATTTTTGCATTAAATTATAGAAATGTTATCATTTTGTATCATTAACAATTCAATTCAAAAAATAAAAAAATAATAGTTTTAAATTAATTGGAATTCGCGGAGGAATTTTAATAAAAATATCCCTTATTATCTTTAGAAATAATTTTTATTCTATAGTTTTTATAACTATTTCAATAAAATTGATTTATACTTTATTCTAACTCGAATTAATTTTTTACAGGTACAATGGATTCTGATATTGGAGCGAACGAAGAGGAGATCTGTTCGAAATCCAGTGATTTGCACATATATATTTTCACAAAACGTACATTATAATATACTTTCACTGCCTTGGATCGCATTGTGTTCGTGATTTATTATAAACGTTCATTCGGGTGGCAACATGTGAAGGTCGAACGAGATCGTCCAAATTTTCGGTTTTGCACGTTCTGAAAATGGTTAACATCGATGAAAGATTGCGCTCTAATCCAAGTAAGTAAAAATGTATTATTGTACAATTTAATCTATAAATTCTAATTCCTCGTATAATATTCCTAATTCCTTTCTATCGTGTCATCAATTAAAACAAAATTATTTTGTGTTTAAGAACTGTTTATGAAATTTAATATATAATTTAATAATATATAAAGAATCTGTTTTCACGGTGGAAAGAAATTTTATTGTGATATTTTAATTTAGAAAAATTTTATTAAAAATTAGAAAATAAAATCACAAATATTTTTTGGTAGGGAAAAGTTTCCACTTTGGAATAAAAGAGTATTTTATTTTTCATTGTTCAATATATATAATGTATAAACGCGATGTTAGCATTATTGCTCGCTGATAATGTCAATCTTAACCCGTTAATCCTTCGAACGATATCTAACCACGCTTGCAGTTTTAAAGGCACGTTTTCATTTACCAAGTGCATCGCGTGTGTTCATAATTTGTGTCGAATAATGTATACATAATGAACGAGAAATAAATCGTACATTCACGTTTTTCACGTATTTGGTTATTTAAAAAGATTCTTGATCAAACGAAATTAAAAAGACTCGTCGATATTGAAGTTTAGAAACGAAAGGAATATCGTATATACAGATAAAACGAAAAAATTAAAAAATTCAGAGATTAACAATTTGAAGAAAATAATGAAAATGCTCAATGGAAAAGAGAGAAAATGCTCATTTTTTTGAAACGAGAATAAATCTTCAAGAAAGCCAATCTTTGTTAAAGCTATTATGTTGTTCTCAGGATCCAAAGGGTCCTTTATGGATTTAATACCAATACATATGAGTTTTAGAACGAAAAATAACAAAAAATGAAATTTTAAAAGATTAGATTGTATCGAGTATTTTCTGAGATTCTTTTCTTTTCTTTTTATACGCAGCAATCTACTTCGAACAATCGTATCAAAGGTATATACACTATAAACAAATTATTTTTATTTGACAATTTAAAAAAAATTATATCAATCAGTTAAATCGAACGTTTTTTCACGCACATGCCGTGCAAAATTTAATCCCTTTTGATTGAACAAAAAAGCGAAATTCATCTCAATATAAGATTAACAAGGCAAAAAAAGTTTAATCTCGTTTAAATCGTCTTCGTTTCGCAAAAAGCAAAATTTGGGAAGCAATGAGTCAACAATAATAGTGGAGATTTGCCACGCTCTAGGATGTACGATTTATTCATTTCTAAAATAAGGGAATAATTCTTCATTTTTCGCGCATTCTCTGCGATTTCTATCTACAGAAATTTTCGAAAATATTTTCCTTTCTTGACTGTTATCGAATTCTTATTCCTGGGACATCACAAAATTGTCATCGTTCCTTCATAAATTAAGTCAGTCTTTCTCCAATGATAATTCATTCGAAACGATAACACATTTTCATATTTCGCTTATTTCATCACATAACAGCGGTTTAATCTATCGCGAGTCTTGCATTTTTAATATCCGTTTATTATGAATTTTATAAAGAAGATAGAGAGAGAGAGAGAGAGAGAGAGAGAGAGACCGG